ATATCTCGCATATACTCGACGTGGGCTATTAGAAAAACAAGCTTTCATCTTTGGTCAAACACTGTCAGAAAAGCGTGTTTTTCAGCAGAAATTCCATAGGATTTTTGTCTATTTCGAAAGTGCTTGGCCAAAGATGAAAGCTTGTTTTTCTAATAGCCCACGTCGAGTATATGCGAGATATATGTCATCCCACTTCCTGTAATCCCGTGGAAAGGTGCAGCACGTACTCAAACTTTGAAAAACGAGGAAAATCGCCTTTAAAAGTTTATTTTTTCTATCATTGAATGTTTCTCAATCTCAGTGAGAACCACTTCATCGGATAGAGCCTGAAAAGACGCGTCGAACGCATATCTTGTCGTCTTGTGTTGATATGATTTTATGAGGAAAATATGGTTTAGAAAAAAGGTCTACTTTTCGGAAAAAACGAATTTTTTAAAAATTTCCCTAGCATTTTGGAACTTTGTGTCCGTTAGTAATTTCGTAGCTCTACACATATAGAATCTAAACTGATGGTATCAGCTCATGAAATGGTTTCACTAAAAAATGGTGAAAATGCCCAAAAAAGGTCTATTCTGCTGGAAAATGGAATCTTCACAGGTCTAGGAGGTCACCGTGCCGTTGTTTTAGAATCTTTTAAACGTGATATTCGTCATCAAGAGCCCAAGTTGTACTAGTCCGGTTACTCTCGAACAATCCGGATAAAGTCGATGTAAAGTCTGGTACGCTCTCGAAAGAATCGCCCTGTACTTATCACCTATCCTGCGGAAACAGTATTAGCACGATTATCAATTATCCAGCAAAACTAATGTTAGCGCATTATAGTTGATTACCTGTGAATCCACTTTTTCTGCACATAATATTTCGCGCTTTATAGCAAACTACAAATAGCATTAGAATTAGAAGGAATGTGTCTTAAGTTGGTCTAAATAAAATAGACAGAGCAACTTTTTTTTAATTTCTCATCATAACTTTGGACTGCTACAATAGTAATATATGAAGCTAAATCTTGAAAGAAACTCATGCTCTACTTCAAAAGTTATAAGTAGTCCCACTGAGAACTGTAAACGAGTCATGATATATAAAATACATAACCAGGCTCATTTATTCTTCTTTTCCAATAAACGAGTCTTCGCGGTAATGTCGCTGTACCTATTCAGCTTATTCATTTATGTGGAAAAGGTAGTTTGATGTGCAAGTGCCGTATCGCAGATGCTTTTGAGTTTTTTTACCGCGACAAGCTCTATCGAATGAGACCAAATCTGAGTATTTCACCCCAAAAATAAACGTTCCATCAAAGTTTCATAATTTGAGCAGAAATCCGACTTTTCACTTGAAACTTTTTCTCGAAAACTAATAGGCCCTGGAGAACGAAAATCGTGAAATTTTTGACAGTATGCTCTACAAACTAGGCGAAGAAATGGGTGAACAGCACTATAAAAGATTTAATTTACGCAATGAAAAAAGGTTATTTGGATGATATTGATATGTCCAAAGATAAACCTACTTGGAAGAACATTCTGGCAGATTTTAGTATGGCCGCTAAAAATGATGAGCCAAAGCATGTAGTTCAAGCTTATACACGTTCACAACCACTGAGCAAGAAAATAAACAAGGGTATGGCGAGGAATACGTATCATGAACTGACACTCTACTGTACTCCACTGAACTGCAATGTCCTTGCACGTACACAGGACGGAATTGACGCTTTTGTTAGCTTACTATTTCATCCAAAATTAGACCAGTGTGTTTGTAAAGATAAATTAGAGGTTTATCGAGGTTCGGTTATTAAAAGTGAAGACGTACTGAACGGCTATGAAAAAGGTTCCATTATTATATCGACGACGTTTCTCTCGACATCAAGAGACTCTACAATTGCAGAGACTTTCAATGATCCTGGTAATACAAATGAAATCTCACTTCTTTGCACATATAAAATTTTTAATTATCGTCGGACGGCTTTGGATATTCAACAGTTTTCAGAGCATCCTGAAGAAAAGGAGGTATTAATTTTACCCTATGTTCCGTTTAAAATCACGTCTTTTGAGTCAATGGTATTAGCAGATTGTGGAAAACGACGAATCGAAGTAGAGTTAGAAGAAATCGGCGATGACAACTTGGACATGCAATCAGCACAGACAGTTTCTACTCTTGTCTAGTACAAGCGTTAAACTTTCTTCATATATGATTACGAATATCACTCAATCATAAACAGCAGATAAAAAAGGTAAAAGATCTGTAAAACTAATGTGTACAGCTTCACAAAGTCGTTTTTATTACTCCATTAGTATCAAAATAAAAGAATTATTTAATGGGCTCATATTCGTCGACAGACGAAGCGGGAAATGGTGATGATACATGTGACATCGATTCTTCTACACACGATTTTGATCCACGAATTTTTGAGAGAAATGTCGGAGTTTGTGTGAAGAAAAGTTTCAGGAAAATAAGACGTCGTTTTTCGGCAGAACGACGCGGTTCTTTCAAAAACCCAGTAAGTTTCGAGGAAAGAAGACTGAGTACCTATCACCATACACTAAGTTTGGCGCTGAGGGTCTTCCAAAAAACATTTCTGTGAAGATACACGAAGTTTTGAGAAAAATGTCCGAGTGCCTGTGAAAATGTACTAAGTTTGAACAAAAGGAGACAACGTATGTTGGAACACCCTCACCGCCAAACTTAGTGTATGTTGACAGTTCTTTGCTCGAAACTTACTGCACTTTGGAAAGAACCGCCTCGTTCTGCAGAAAAACGGCGTCTTACTTTCCTCAAACGTTTCTTCACTCAAACACACTCTAACATTTCTCTCAAAACTTCGTGGATCGAAATCGTGTGTAGAAGAATCGATACCACATGTATCATCATCATTTTTCGGCTCTGAAAGTTGATCCGCTATGAAAATACTGCTTCTATACAAACAGCCCAGAAAAAGCGATTTGAAGCTATGTGAAATAGTTTCAAACTTAAAGAGTTAACACATTTTGTAGAAGAGACGATTTTCTACAAACTGGTATACTTGTTGATTTTTCGGTTGCTTGTCTTTACTCTTTTAATAATGTATTTCGATGCTTAAGCTCCAAGATAGTAAATCATGTGGCTGCTCCATTTTTTTGCATACTTTTCTCTTTATTCTGAGACGGTCCAAAGCTCTAAGCGTTGCTGTTCGACAGTCATACGAGAAGCAGAATGCAAAAAGAAACCACGTTCTTCCGAAGTTCCTGTGACAATCCACTAGGTTTGAAGGAAAGAAGACGACGTGTTTTGGAACACCCTCACCACCAAACTTACTGTAGGTTGAAGTTTGTAAAAATCCAGTGAGTCTCGAGGAAAGAAGACTGAGTTCATGCACAAAGTCTGGTGGTGAGGGTGTTCTAAAATATGCTATCTAGTTTTCTTCAAACTTGGTGGATTTTGAGAGGAACTCGGACTTTTTCTCAAAACTTCGTGTATCTTCACAAAAATTCCGCCAATTTTTTCTCAAACCTTACTGCATTTTCAGCAGAACGTCGTCTTCTTTTAGCGAAATTTCGTGTATTTTCACAAGAACTGTGTCTTCCCTCCTCAAAACTTAGTGGATTTTTTAAAAAGACCGCGCCTGTTTCTGTAGAACGTGGTTCTTTTTTGCATTCTGGTTCTCTTATGACTGTCGAACAGCAACGCTTAGAGCTCAGGAACGTCTCAGAATAAAGAGAAAAGTATGCTGAAGATTTTGAGATGTGCGCGTAGTTTACACATTCTTGCGAAAACCATGACACTCGTACTCGCCCATCCCTGATCACAGTATGACATATCAAAATTCTGTATCAAGATCTTGAAAAGATTTAGAAACTCATCACCGTAATTACTGATTAGGAAAGTTAGTTCCATATTTGCACAAGACAAGTGAGGAAACTGTAACTACAGGAATTTCACACATACTGATATTCTTTGTGGTACAACATTATACCAGACCTTACCTTGATTCCGTTGGTCTAGTAGATGCACAAATGAATAAATTAAACTTACCCATACAGTGAGGAACCATATCTCGATCAAGCTATATATCCCGACTGGGATATAAAAGTGTATCCTGATCGGGATATAAATTATTTGTTTCGATATCGCGATCGGGCTATAGGAATATCGGGATATCTGCTTTTTTGTATATCACAATCGGGATATGATTTCCTTATAGTAGGGTCGTAGTTTATAACCGCTCAAAACTAATTAATATGGCACTTGTAGCGCAGAGGTGATATAGAACGCAACATATCAGCCGCCAGAACTTAAGTGATGAAAGCGCTTCGACATTTTTAAAATTTTAAACTTTTGAACACAATTTACGCATCCGAAAACTTTTTTGTAAACACAAGTTATCGCTGCGCGGACGACGAATCACGGTGGATGAGTGTGACTTTAACTAAATATTTCACTGAACGTAGCTATCTTAAGTATTTTTAGAGTAAGAGAAAATATCAAGATATTTCGAGAAAGTGTTAAAAGTAGCTGGTAAAAAAAGTAAAATATCCTTTTTAAATTAACAGCAGCCATAGACTCTTCATAGAGTCATTTTCAAAGAATATTACAGAACATTACTGTACTTTACGCATGAAATGTTGTGAAAAGAAAGAAGAATTTTGTCTGTATATATTGTGTGTTACTTGTAAACAGTCAGTCAGTAATTATATTATCAGTCCCTTTTGTTTCACTCTTCATATCATTTCTCTATCCGCCTGGATCAATATTCCTTTTGCTCTTTCTCTGAGAAAGGCCGTCGGGAAACACAATCAAAGGTACAGATCTAACTGTACGATTTAAGTCAGGATTGAATGATGCTATTAACAAAGACTCTTTGACTAACAATCGATATTCGACTTTGTCCCGGTTCATTATACGCCAATTCTCCCAATCAATAGAGTGAGAGGTATCTTCAACATGTTTTTGTAGAGCAGACTTCACATCTTTAATGTCTGAATAATTATCAATCTCTTTGAGAATCTTTCGATCAAAGGCATTCATTAGTTTAACCTGTTCCGTTATTTTCTGAGTAGCTTTTGTTTTAGCTATTCGAGCTGTTTTCACTGATTGTGCTGCTGTGGTCATAGAGAATGAATTCACATTAGATAATGACTGAGATGATTGAGAACTATAGGTATCTTTAGGTAATCCATGTTCATACAGTCGTCTACATGCTTGTCGTTTAGTTTTACCCATATACTGTGAACTACAGTCTTTACATTTAACGTTATAAATGACATCAGACTTCAAGTAATTTGGTATTTTATCCTTAAAATCAAAGAAATTTTGAACTGATATTGGAGGCTTTTCAATAATTGTTAATTGTGAATCTGATCGAATTTTAGTTGTAAACTTCCGTAAGTCATTTTTAAACATTCTTGTACTATTCTCAACAAAAGGCACTTCAATAAACAATCTTTTCTTTTTCTTATCAGTATCCGTATCAACACACTTATCAGATTTGCTATACCATTTACTAGTTTTTATCCCAATGAGTATTTCAATAAAAGAACTAGGGTAACCATTACTTTGAGCTATTTTGCGAATAATATTCAATTCCTCATGTAATAGTGAATAAGTTGAACAAATATTGATGGCTCTATGAATCATACCACTGATGACTGAGCGTTTATAGGATATGGGGACATATGAGTCCCATTTCATGATTAGACCTGTAAATGTGTTTTTTCTGAAGATAGTTGTATCATATGTGAAATCAGTTCTCATGATACTAACATCAAGAAACGGTAATGTATTGCTCTCTTCAATCTCAAACGTAAACTCAGTACTGGGGTGAAAGCTATTCAACAATACTAATATATTATCTACAGAGGCATCTTGCTTAATCAATGTAAAAGTATCATCGACATACCGTCGCCAGAATCGGACTCCGTTATTATATAACCGATCATGTAATGACTCTTCTAAATGGGCCATGAAGATATCCGCAATAATTCCGGCTAGAGGTCCTCCAATACTGACTCCATCAATTTGCTCATATAACTGATTGTCGAACATGAAATGTGTTCCAGAGGTAGCTAATTATAATAGAGTACGAAAATCCTGTCTATCTTTACATCCTTCACATATTGTATTATTTTTCTTCCGATTCATGCAAGATGACTCACATCTGCCATATAACTTTTGAATGATGAGATCTATCGTATAAGCCAAAGGTACCCTTATGAATAAATTTTTGACGTCAAACGAAACAATTTTTAATTTTAGATATGACTTGGGAAAAGTTTTAACCAAACTCGTAAATTCAAATGAGTCCTTAATCATGCTGGGGGCTAGTCCGTAAATGTTGTAATCGTTGAGCTAGCATATGACCGAGACCATAGTTGAACGTTTTGACCGACGAAAGAATTGGTCTTATAGGCCTGTTTGGTTTGTGAACCTTGGGTAACCCATATAACCTTGCAAATTGTGATCCGCAAGGCCTAGCTAGCTTATATTCATTCTCAGTAATAAATGCTCTACCACGTAAACTACCTAACAGCCGTATAAGTTTACCTTCTTTACTAATAGTGGGTTCAAATGTAATTTTTCGAAATGTCTTTGTATCACTTACAATATCATTCATTTTTTCTATATATTCAGCTCTATCCAGGATAACAATACCTCTACCTTTGTCAGGTTTATAAATTATAATTGATTTATCACTCGCTAAAGCCTTTAGTATACCTCGATATTTTGCAGATAAATCGTGAGTATTGCGTAATTCATGCCTCGAACGGTGTATAAATTTATCAGTAATACGCCGTAGGTTTATCGCACCACTTACTTGAGCTGGAGTAAGATTATAGGAAATAATATCATCATCATTTTTCTTATCATAATCATAATACTCTGTTTTGAAACCTAACAATCTAATATAGAAATATTCTATGTTACTTATCAAATCCCTTTCACTGAAAACCGTTGGAGAATATACATGTTGGAGACCATTAGTCAGTACTTCTTCTTCATCTTCAGTTAATATTCGTTTCGAAAAATTCAGGAGATGTTTGATAGGATCTTGCACATTTCGTTTTACTCCAATATGCTAACGACTTCTACGTAACTTGATTAACTTATTTACTAATGTTTTCCTCCATAAGTTCGATTTATCATTGACAACTGAGCTTTTAATTATCTGTAACTTCGAATAAACTGTAGAGCTAGTCATTGTTTCAATAAATGAAAATATGCTCTTTGACCGACGATGAAGTTGGCTTAACATTTTACGCTTGAACTTGATTTCAATTCTCAACAATCGCAGTCTTAACTGAGTAGCAGCCTTACTATTTTGAATATGTTGAGGTAACTTGATACGAATAAATACTGGTTTTAACTGTTCACGTAAACACGTTCGCAAAAATATCAAATCCATTACGCCCTTTTCGACAGTATGGTCAAAACTTTCCGCAAACATCGTCATTCTTTCTCTAATGAATTTTATTTAAAAAAATCGACTTTATATCCCGATCGGGCTATATGTTTCTTCCACTGTATCCCGACCGGGATATATTTTTACTTAGAACGGGATATAGAACAGGAGACTCTACTGCCATATATATGTTAACAGCATCTGCCCTGAAAAAATTGAGAAACCTTTTCTATCAACGTCGTTATGGACATATTCGACTGAACAGCTTCGATGTTGTCTGAATGGTACCGTAAGAGCTGTGAATTTTGTCCTACTGTTGGTACAGTACTAAGAGTGCCACATAGAATACAGTAGATGACTAAATGTACTTTTGATCACCAAACGTTTCAGCAAGCGTCTTACATGTTCATTTCTCAACAAAGTATAATGTACAACACAAACATATTCCTTGAGATTTTAACCAAATGAGCATTCGTAAGATCTTGAAAGAACTGGATAGAAACTTAAGAAAACTTTTAAGTTTTTATCTAGATCTGCAGTCAAAATCTTTTACTTCGGATGATTGGTTGTGATGTACGAATTGGTTTTTGTCCCTGAAATAGATGAAAAGTGAACGTTGGTGATCAGAGATGGACGGGGTGGGAAGAAGTTTTGCAAGGGATGGGACGAAATGAAGATTCTCCCAAACTACAAAATAATGGTATAACTGCAATCTAATCTTCCCCCATCCATACTGAATCTGAATATATGTGACGACAAATATCTAACATAGAACTTTTGATATATAGGTGAACAAATTATAAGAATATATTTTACTTTTTCAACTTTATTCTTTGCTGTTGTATTTTTTGGTTTTGGATTACATTTTTTCTAGTTTGATCATATTTGGATTGGGCGTGAAGAATGGAGCCGACATATATCTCATGTGTTTTCCATCACTGTACACTTTCTTTATAACTAGTGGTTTCATTAATATAAATATATTCATTCAAAAACCATTAAGAAGAAGTCCATGTTCACTGTATCTACTTTCAGCATCTGTTGCTGGGGATTGTCCTTACCTCGCCAAGCCGAATTCGCTCTATCGGATCTTGTAGGATACTTTTAATTCCGATGCTTTACAAGAATATGGGAAATTACACGGTATAGTGCATGCAATTACTATCCATCCCAAAATACAAGATCCGTGGGCATTTTTTGAATAACTTTTGATAGGAATGAGATAGAGACCTGCAATTATCGCTGTTCAATAGCCAAGACTTGAGCAGAACTTTTCACAAGCGGAAGCAACTTTTGAAAAAATTCCAGAGATAGGGTTTTCACAGGATCTTTGGAAAACCAGCAGACTAACTCCGAGCAGACATCTCTGGAAACCTGAAAATGCCATGGACTATAGGTAATCGACTACGCTGAGCATAGTAGCAACATTTGTTTTTGTGTAGAAATGAATATAACTTCGCCAGAGGCATTGTTGTGAAAAACCGG